ATAGTAAAAATTACAGTTCTTTGTTGCTTTAGTAATAAATTTGTGTGATCTAAACTAGGATAGTAGGATTTGACAACAAATTTCTAAATGGATTATGATGTTTGTTTTTGTAGGGACGACTTTCTATAATTTTTGAATTTTGAGACCTGATGCCATAAGCATGAAAAATCATTACCTTTAACAGCAAATTTGCCATTTATCCTTATCAATTCAGTCCGCTTTCTCTATATACACAAAAAAAGAGAATTTTAACTTTTCAGCTGCTTAATAGTATTTGAATGCTGAAACAGAGTTTTAACTTAGTTTTACAGCATGGGAAAGACAATTTCGTTGTACGGATTCTCTTCTGTTGAGCACGCGGAAGAAGTGAAGAGGTTTCTGGAGCAATACACTGGAGAAGGTAGTGTTTGTGCTGTTGAGATTGGGCAGTACAAGAATGATTTAAGGAAACATGCCAAGGTTCAGTTCACAGACTCTGAGAGTGCTGAAACCATAAAATCATTGGCTAATAAACGAATTTGGTATGGTGACTGTTATCTAAGAGCACGGGATTTGTGCACCGAAATGGTACCAGAGCCGAAGGCTTATCTTTGCAGCATGGATAATGTAACGCTGCATTTCGGATGTCAGGTTTCTAAGCAGAAGTTTTCTGTGCTCTGGAGAGGAGAGAGTGTTTGTGTCAAATTTGGAGAAGAGCTAAGGAAGCTCTACTTCTTTTTGTCTTATGATTCTGTTGATTACAAGCTAGAGCTCTCCTATGAGAGCATTAGGCAGATTGAGCTACATCAACTGCACAGCGAGACTTCGAAGTTTCTTGTCCTTCAGGTATGCTTTTAAAAATTCATTAGTACTTAATTTCTCTAATTTGTCTGCTTGTTCAGTAAATTCTCATATCGAAGCACAAAAACGGATATGAAACACTAACTTGAATAGGAGATTTATAAAGATCAGGGCTGTTACAAGCACACATAAATCTATAGATTTGGAGGAAATATAACGATTTTAATATTTCTTATGCAAAATAGATATTTCCTCGTTTAGAATCAAATAAAGACGTCAAAGAATGTAGCATGTTGTGCCTTTTTTGCTTGAAAGTATAGCATGTTGTCAATGATATATTAAAATAGATTGCTTTAGGACCTTTTTTGTTTCTCACATCAAAATCATGACTATATCTTCCGTCCACAAAGAAGTATCAGTTATGCTCCCGTAACTGTTGATTTTCGAAT